AAGGATGATGTGCGACGCACAAGGATAATTTCATCCAAATAGTGACACCGTGTTTAGGACGTTTTCGTGCCACCTCAATATAATCGATGTTGTTTTTCATATTTATTAGTTCTAATAATATAATATACTATACTGATGATGGCGAATGATGTTCGAAGGTGCTTGAATGTAGATTCACTCGTATCCCATCAAATGTATAGTTTCCACCTTTTATCTATTCTTGTAAAATAAGAAATTAATGATTGCCTTCCGAGAATGACTCTGTTGCATTCAATTTGTAAGCTCTTTTATTATTTGAAATTATATATGCCCGATCTGTTTTACGACGAGGTAATTTGTCTAGACGAGCATCTAACTTTGCGGATAACTTTTAATAAAATTATATTATTACAGAAAAATTAATTATTAATTAATATGTATATATATTTCTCTTAATCAGATTTAATATCAATAATTAAATCGAATACAAACATTAAATTATCTATTATATTCAAGATCAATAAAATAAATTTCTAAGATATAATAAATTCGCTACACAAATAATAATAAGCATGAAGGTGTTGTTCTGGAAAGCAATTATCTGTTCTGAACGATTTTCGGAATTGAAAGTATGCAAAGTGTTTTTCGAATGAGGGCATCTTTTTACTTGATTAATAATAATGCATATCATCAAAAAGAATCCGTTTCGATTTTTTTTAAATATACATTAAAATTAAAACTAAATAATTGAATAACAAAATAATTGATAATAAAGAAACAAAAAAATATGAAATTAATAAAAATACAAGTCTAATAATATAAATTTTTCTTTAATCTTGAAATTGTGAACCTGAATTCAAATCACACATGATTATACTATTGTATATGTTTAGACAATAGAATCGCGAGACCAGTATAAAATATCATTGTGTTTATGCACGTTAATGTTATAGTCAAATTTAATTATGCCATACATTAAATAAAAATATTCTAAAATTAACAACTTGTTTATGACTGGGATTTTTTGAACGATTGTATTTGGATATCTAATTTTATCGATATTAAAGGAAAAATGCATGCAGAAATGAAGATGAACATCAAATAAGGTATTTATATAAGTGTGTATAGCTTCCGCTAATGTAGAAAATACTGCCAAAGCTATAATATATTATATCTGACTATATAAAGTCATATTTAATTATTACGATACAATTATACGGTTTTGTTTGTAAATCAAAGGACGCACCAAAAGCGCCATTGTACAGTTAACAAATCCTTAGTTACTAACACACTTCGTGTTTTTTCGTACGCGAGTATACTTCTAAAATATTAGTAAAACGTGACTATTAACCAAAAGATATAAATATCTATCAAAATTTCGTCCTTGCTTTTATGAAATTCATGAAATTTTAATCAAAATTATTTACTCAAATGTATTTCAAAAACAACAGTTTATTTATTTTTTTAGTGCTTTTAGTTTTGCTGATCAATTTTAGTCCTGAAGATGTATTTGCTATAAAACGTAATAATAAACATCGATATCGTCGCCATGGAACACATTGTATCGGTGACAAAATTGGAACTATTACTGGTAAGCATAAGCATTTTTATAGTGCAAAAGTTTTATAATATTAAGATTAATTTATTCTCTATCGTAAATGCAGAGGAACCTAAAGATATCGAAATCCCAGAAGAAATTCAAGTGCCCGATTCTGCTAAATTTAAATTTTTATTATATGCTATTGGAACAGCCGAATACACTTGTGCTAAATTAGATGGCGTGAAGTATTGGAATACAAGTAAGTGATATTAATCTTGATTCTTAGTTCTCATGCCAACATTTTTTCATGCTCTCCATACTATTACATAGCAAATTATGACACATTTCTTGTAAACGATATTCCAATCGGATTTGGACCTGAATGTTTTGTTGTACGCCATTACTTTTCATATCCACGTATGTATCTTTTGTGTCGGCTTTTGTGAAATATAATTACTTTCGTTATTAACTATCCTTATAGCTTATAAGGGTGGAAAGGCTATTTATGAGTCAATAGTTCCAGGAGATACTTCTTTTGTGTGGGAAGGTCCAGATGCGAGTGTCCCATCACCTGATGGACCCGAAAACCTCGCTTGGATTCGAATTAAACCTTATGTATGTTAACTTTTCTAATATTAAGGTTTTATATTATGATTTATCTATTAACAAATACTGCATAAAATTTCAATAGGCGACCAAAGGTGAAGGTGCGCTTAATGATTTCACATGGGCACTTAGAATCGCTACTGTTGGAGGCAGCCCTCCTCCAAATTCCACATGTATGTTTTTATTTATATCATTTTCAAGTATATATATATCTATCTATCTATCTAACCATATATCAATTTTCTTATATTTTTAATGAATAGGCGGCACGGATTATGAGGAAGGTGATACGGTTCACATTCGATATACCTCACAGAATTGGTACTATAACTGAAAATTCTTCGTATTTGCATATCACAACCAAGAGGATCAGAGAATGAAACAAATATTTAAAATTAAACGATATAATCATGAATATTTTTAATATAATTGTAAAATAAATAAATGATAACTTGACTATTTATCAGTACAACAATGACTACCAAAGAATATAGAATCTTCAAACATCTAGATAAAAGTGGTTCAATCCCATTTCTACAATGAAATTACCTCCGCAAATTACTTATAATAGTAAGATAAAGGGTATCTAAAATGCCATATTTGAATTTCCTTTATCACGTTACAACATAAAAATCGCAATATTTTTGCTTTCAAAATTAATTCTAACCCGGTCGCGAACTTTAAAAAAATTTTTTATGTTATAATAACCGGGATTTTTCAAAAAATTTTTATATAATTTTATATATATAATTTAAAAAAAAAAAAGCCGGGTTGCCGAGTCATTTCAATATTATCTTTATGTTAAAATTACAAATAATATATGCCGAAACTTTTACCATATGTGAAAAGACTTGTGCTGAAAATTTTAAATAATCCGTTTCGATTTTTTATAAATTATATAATAAATATACATTGAAATGAAAAATAATTATATTTTTCTCATTTTTTTTGTTTGCATATTTTCCGAAAATATAAATAAATTAAAAAAAAATTTATAACAAAAATCTTGAAATTGTAAGCCTGAATCCGAAGAACCAGCAATCCACATAAACAATTTTTAAAAATATAACTAGAATGGCGAATTCAGATTAATAACCACCACCACCATTTTAATACAATAAAAATATTATGTGATTCTATTCATTTTTAAATAT